GGCGCTGGGAGCGGGGATGCTGGGGCTGGGAGCTGGGATGCTGGGGCTGGGAACTGGGATGCTGGGGCTGGGAACTGGGATGCTGGGGCTGGGAACTGGGATGCTGGGGCTGGGAACTGGGATGCTGGGGCTGGGAACTGGGATGCTGGGGCTGGGAACTGGGATGCTGGGGCTGGGAACTGGGATGCTGGGGCTGGGAACTGGGATGCTGGGGCTGGGAACTGGGATGCTGGGGCTGGGAACTGGGATGCTGGGGCTGGGAACTGGGATGCTGGGGCTGGGAACTGGGATGCTGGGGCTGGGAACTGGGATGCTGGCACTGGGAACTGGGATGCTGGGGCTGGGAACTGGGATGCTGGCACTGGGAACTGGGATGCTGGCACTGGGGACCCGCACGGGTGAAGATGCTCTTGCTGCAGCCGACCTGGAGGCATCTGATCTATTCCTGTGCTTTGCTGTTTTGAATCATCAGCTGGAATCTCAGCTGTGCTTTTCCCTGCTGGGAGCTCTCCCTGAGCGTTCCCTGTGCCAGAAGTTTAGCTGGGTAAACTGGGTGATGTGCAGTTAGCCTGGGAAGGAATCACCTGGTCATTCGAGGGCCCCCAGTGACCCCTCCAGCTCCTGCCCTGTGGAGGGAGAGGTTGTGCTGTCACATTTCATGCAGCTCTTTAGTAGAGTCCAAGTGACTCATTTCCCTTACACGTTCTGAAATTAGCCCTTTTTGTACCCAGAGGAGCTGGGTGGGGGGGTTGCAAAGTTGGAGCATAAAACTCTGTGTGGCTCCAAAAAAATTCCCTAGACTTGGAAGCCTGTGCCAGAGCAGCCTGTCCTGGCTGGGTGGCAGCAGTGCTGGGGCAGAGGGGTGAAGGTTTTGGCAGCTGGTTTAAAAATAGCAAGAAATGGCACAGAGCCCAGGGAGCCCTGCAGACACAGCAGGCTGGGCCTGTGTCCTGGGGCATCACACTCCTTGGGAAATGGAAGAGTCTTGGGAAAAGCAGGAGCATTAGGAAGAGGAAGAGGTGTGCCCGTGGGAGCTCTGGGTGTGGAGGGAGAAGAGTGGAAAAGGGCTGAAACATGAGGTGTTGGGTTTTTTGGATGCGTCCAGTTGGAGCTGGCTCTGCACATTCCCTACCAAATGCCTCCCTTTGGTGGGAGAGCAGTGCTTGGGCAGCCAAGGGAAGAGAGGAGAAAGAAGGATTGCAGCAGGGAGAGGCATGGCAATCCCAGGGGATGCTGCCAGGCAGGGTCAGTCTGTCCGGAGTGCAGGAGGGTGGGCACGTGGCAGGGTGAAAACTGCTGCTTCAGGGTTTCTGCTGGGGTTTGCAAACAGCCTTTATTGCAGGTTGATTGTGAAGGCAGAGATAATTGTAGGGCTGCTCGCAGGTTTTCTGACCAAGTGCTTTTTCCACAGAAAGCCTGTGTCAAATCAGAAATCCCAATAATTTAATTGTAGTTGGTTTTTTCTGCTAAGCTTGGACCAGGCTGGAGAAAAAAGCCAAGTACAGTGATACTTGGAAGTGGCAGGTTAGTGCAAAGCTCATTCGTTGGCATAGCCTTTTGTTTGTGTTTGGTGTTTTTTTTTCCATGAATCTCCAAGATTGTGAAGAACTCAGATGAAACGTGCAGGGCTGGTACTTTCCTCCTGCCATGACACTGAGTCAGGAGAGTCACTCAAGGTCATTTATTTTGCCAGGCGTGTTGGCTGGAACAGCAGAGCAGTCAATAGGCTGAGTTCTCACCCCCTGCCATGGGTCGAACGCTGCCTGGAACCCAGGGCAGCTGCAAAATGATGTCTGGTTTATCTGTTAAGATTTTAGCTCTCAATCCCTCTCCCAGTTCCCTCCGAGCAGAAGCAATCATACCTCCTGAATGTGACTTCTCAGCTGAATAATGCAACACCTGCTTTTCCTGCAGCTGTGAAATGGGAGGGCTTTGTCAGGGTTTTCTTTCATGCTGCTTTCTCTGGACTTCACCGGGTCCCTCAAGTGCTGCCTTGTCTTTAACTCTCTTTTTCATCACCATTCCATCTGTTAAGGTGTTAATTATATAGGATTAAAAAGAAAATAAAATTAGTTCACCTGGCTTCATCATCCTTCACTGTGCATGACAAGAAGGACACGGAGGGGCTGGAGCGTGTCCAGGGAAGGGGCTGGAGCACAAGTGTGAGCAGGAGCAGCTGAGGGAGCTGGGGGTGTCCAGCCTGGAGACAAGGAGCTGAGGGGAGACCTGCTGGCTCTGCAGCTGCTGAGAGGAGGTTGGAGCCAGGGGGGTCGGGCTCTGCTCCCCAGGAACAAGGGGTGGGACAAGGAAATGGCCTCAGGTTGTGCCAGGGGAGGTTGAGATTTGATATTGGGAACAATTTGTTCCCCAAAAGGGCTGTCAGGCCCTGGCCCAGGCTGCCCAGGGCAGGGTCCCCATCCCTGGAGGGGTTTCCAAGCCCTGGAGATGGTGCTGAGGGACATGGGGCAGGGGTGGCCTGGGCAGGGCTGGGGGAATGGGTGGACTTGGTGATCTTACAGGGCTTTTCCAACCAAGATAATTCCATGATTTTCTGTGTGGGAGGGTTTTGGCTGGTTGGTTCAGACTGAGCTTTTGGGGCAGGTACTGTTGGGTGTTCTGTGAAGCATCCCCAGAGAAGTGCCAGGTCACATTCTGGACTGGAGTGGTGGTAGCTGAAGTCCCGAGCAGAGGAGCTAGAGCTTTTACAGACAGCCTTTTAAAGGACTGCCCCAAACCATCAGCCTGTATAACAAAGCCCCGTGCCTGCCAGCCCTAAGTGCATTTTCTTGGCTCTCCAAGGCCACAGTTTTCCTCTGTCCCAAAGCCAAACGGGGTGGGGGGGTCTTGGTGTCCTCAGAGTGACCATACCCCCCAGAAAGGGGCCAGCCTTCACCTCCCCTGTGGCTGTAACACCCCTGGAGAGGGGTGGGATGGCTGAAAGGAGCAGCTCCTCCCCAGAGCCTCTCCTTGCCCTGCTGACGTGGGTTCTTTGGTGCTTTCCTGGTGTTTTGGCCTTTTTACTGGAAGGGAGACTTCTCTCTGCAGCAAGAACAAACACAGCCCGGCAGGCAGGGTGTTTATGCAGATGTGCTCTAGATGTTTCTTGGCTCTGATGTCGTTCTCCTCAGCAGCCCTGGGTGTGCTGGGATGGGGTAGCACAGGCAGGTGTGATCAGGCTGCACTTGCACCCACCAACGTTCGCACACGTTCCTTCGCCAGAACTCCAGGGCAGCAGAACACGTGGCTGTCTGGGATGAGACCCCCCCAGAGCCAGCCACTCTTCAGGGAAAAACATAAAAATAGAACCCAAATCCCAAGCAAGGCACGTAATCCGGTTTTCTGGCTGCTGCTTTTTTTTGCTTTTGGCTCCCAAATGTTTCTGAGCCTCGTGCCCGGGGGGCTCGGCTGCCCCTGCACCCCTTAAACCCTTCCTGGGGGTGCCCCTCACACCCTGGGGGCTCCTGGCAGCCTCCCCTGTTCCCACAGCTGCCAGCACCAGCTGTTCTACTGGGAACACGGGGCTGGGAGCCACTGGTGTCCCCCATAGGAGCACTGATGGTCTGGAGGTGATGGCTGTGCTGGCCCCTGTCCCACGGGACATCTCGGCCCCTGCCCACCCCAGTTGGACACATGGAGCAGCAGGTCTGACTGACGAGGAGAATGGGAGCAGGAGAAGTGAGAGGAAAGGTTGTGCTGCTTCCTGCAAGCCTCATCGTGCTGCTGTTAACAAAAAATAATAACAATAATCCCATTTTAGCTCGGTGACGTTGCTCAGTGTGGGGGGGTTTCACCTCAGCTGAGGGTGTGGGGAAGGGTGGAAATGCCTCCCAGGTGGTGATTTAACCCTGGGGTTTGGCTGTGAGTGGTGAATGCAGCAGCTTGTCAAGCTGCTGCTGAAAATCTGGGCAGCAAATAACAGCAGGTTCTGTAGTACAGGTAGTGAGCAGTACAGAACACTCCGTTCCTGCCCACCTGTGGCGCGGGGAGAAGGAATGAGGAGCAGGGAGGGAGCTCTGGGCAGGTGGCAGAGCTGCTGGGGGAGGGATGTGAGGTGCAGCCAGCCCCAGCCCTGGCCTTGAGGTTTCAGCTCCAGGTGGCATCTCGTGGACTTGTTTTGCCACTGTTAAACTGGGGGGGTGGGATGTCCCAGCCCTGTCCTGCGCCCCCAGCCCTGCCTCCCACCCACTTCATGGCCATAGGGCTGGGCCAGGGTTTGCCTTGGGTGCTGCTGGGATGCAGGATGCTGTTGGGGTGCTACTGGGTGCTGTTGGGGTGCTGTTGGGATGCAGGATGCTGCTGGGGTGCTACTGGGTGCTGTTGGGATGTAGGATGCTGTTGGGATGCTGTTGGGTGCTGTTGGGATGCAGGATGCTGTTGGGGTGCTGTTGGGTGCTGTTGGGATGCAGGATGCTGTTGGGGTGCTGCTGGGTGCCGTTGGGATGCAGAATGCTGCTGGGATGCAGGATGCTGATGGGGTGCTGTTGGGATGCAGGATGCTGTTGGGATGCGGGATGCAGGATGCTGTTGGGTGCTGTTGGGTGCTGTTGGGATGCAGGATGCTGTTGGGATGCAGGATGCTGTTGGGATGCAGGATGCTGTTGGGTGCTGTTGGGGTGCTGTTGGGTGCTGTTGGGATGCAGGATGCTGTTGGGGTGCTGTTGGGATTGTGTCACGATGCCTCAGTGGTGGCTGCTCCAGGGACACCTCTGTCTCTCTGTCTCTCCCCCCACTGCCCGCCCAGTCCCGGCAGACCCCAGAGGGCGAGTTCCTGCCGCTCGACCAGCTGGAGCTGGACGTGGGGTTCAGCACAGGGGCTGACCAGCTCTTCCTCGTGTCCCCCCTCACCATCTGCCACGTGATAGATGCCAAGAGCCCCTTCTACGACCTCTCCCAGCGCAGCATGCAGACCGAGCAGTTCGAGATCGTCGTCATCCTGGAGGGCATCGTGGAGACAACGGGTGAGTAGGGGAAGCAAATCCCCCGCCGAGCACACGTCGCCCTGCAGGTCTCACCCCCTCTCCCCCTGCCTTCAAAAAGTTGGGGGGCTTCGGGTTGCCCTGCCATGCAGCAGCACGGGTTCTGCAAATGCTTGGGGACAGCCAGGGTCGTGTTTTGCTACAGAGTGGGAGTGTCGGAGGGGTTCCCACAGGGTCTCTCACCGAGGTGATGCACCCCAGGGAGGCTGGGGGCTGCAGGGGGGGATCCTCCCTGCTGTCTCCAGAAAAAAAAACACCCTGATTTTTTCCCAGAATAGCTCCCCATGGAAGCTCCTGCAGGGCTTTCTGCCCTGCAGACCAGGGAACTCCAGGTTGTCTTGCCTTTTCCCTGGCAGAACTGTTTTAAAACACAACCCAAGAGAAGGCATTTTGTAAATTACTCTTTAGAATTTCAAAACAAAGTGCTGTGGTTTTTATACTTTGGAGTTTTATTTTTTTGTCAATATTTCAGACTTAGGCATTGTGCATAGAACAACAACAACAACAAAAAAGGTGGTGTTTTCTGGATCTGTAAAGCCTAACTTGGATAAACTTGCAAATTTTGTGACCTAGTTTTATAAGATGAGATGAATATTGAGCAAAATAGAACAAAATGTGCTCTGTTTTGATAGAACATGGAGGGATGAAGGGGTTTTAAAGTTAAAAAAAAAACCACAACACTTGAAGATGTGAATAAATGAGAAGCAAGGAGAATACAGAGCTGGAGGGCAGCTGGACTGGAGGAGAACCAGTATCAGTGATGGTGAGAGCGTGTGAGATGGAGGTGCCACAGGTGGTGGTGAGGAGGAGGAGATCTCTGTGGCACTGCCTTTGGCACATGTCCTGGGGATTTGTTACGAGCTGCAGCACTTTTCCCTGATGGTTCCCAGCAAGTAGCTTTTGCTGGACCTGGCTCAGGTTAGAAACACAAGAGCAGATGGGAGGGAAGGGGCAGTCTCACCTGAAGGATCCTTTTTCTTTTAAAGAAGAGGGAGGGTGGACACTTAAACTTGCAGGTCTTAAACTTGCAGAAAGGCAGGACTCTTCTCTCATAGAACCACACAATCATTAAGGTTGGAAGGGACCTTAAAGATCATCCAGTTCCAACCCCCTGCCATGAGCAGGGAACCACTAGATCAGGTTGCACAAACCTCGTCCAACCTGGCCTTAAAAACCTCCAGGGATGGGAGGATTTTCATCAACATCATCATCAACACCCTCCCTGGGCAACCCATTCCAGTTCCTCACTACCCTTCGAGTGAAGAATTTCTTCCTAATACCTAACCTAAATCTCCCCTCTCTCAGTTTAAAACCATTATCCCTTGTCCTATCACTGTCCTCTCTGATGAAAAGCTCCTCCCCAGCTTTCCTGGAGCCCCTTCAGGCACTGGAAGGTGCTCTAAGGTCTCCCTGGAGCCTTCTCTTCTCCAGGCTGAACACCCCAACTCTCCCAGCCTGGCTCCAGAGCTGCTCCAGCCCTTGGTGACCCTTCTCCGGGCCCTTTCTAGCAGGTCCATGTCCCTCCTGTGCTGAGGGCACCAGAGCTGGACACAGCACTCCAGCTGGGGTCTGAGCAGAGCAGAGGGGCAGAATTCCCTCCCTGGCCCTGCTGGCCACACTTCTTTTGATGCAGTGCTCTCCATCCTGGTGCTCTCCTGGCAGGTTATGTCTTACAGTTCCCACCTGCCATTCACTTTGAAGCCCAAACACACTTGGCAAGGCAGAGGACTTGCTCTGGGAATGAGTGATCTGTGTGCACAAGTGGGTGCAGGTTGTGTTTGCCAGTACATTCTGTCTCAGGAGAACAAGGGAGTTTTCACAGGGAATGGGTACCTGGTTGTCTCTGCAGAGGTGAAAGGGGTTTAATTCAGAGGCAGTTTTCTGAGAAGCTGAGGCTGTGAAGTGTGAGTGCTGGGCTGGCTGGAGGTCAGGAGCTCATCACTCCCAGGACAGGGTGTGCAAAGTAGGTGTCCTCTCCTTCCCTGGAAGGAGGTGTCCCTACCAGTGGAAGGAGGGTTGGAGTTGGATGGTTTCGGGGTCCCTTCCAACCCAAACCATTCTGTGAGACTGTGGTTCTTTGTGGAAATCATATGTTGTAGAGATCTTCCATCTAAGCTACCTTACCTTATGATTTCCATCAGACAGCCCACAGCCACCCCGGAACAGATGCAATAATTGGAAGGGGACTGTTAGAAATACTACAAACCAACTTGCAGCTTGCTCTGTTGGCTGCTTTCTAGCTTAAGCTGGTCTGTGCTTTCCTTCTGCTCAGTGTGAGGTGGTTCCCTGCCCTTGCTGCAGCCTGTCTGTGGTGCCAGGGGTGCAGTGCAAGCCTGAAGTGTCTGCTGGCCTGGAGAGAGCAGAGACAGCTCACAGGTGTTTGCAAACCAGGGGGCTGGTTTTGGTTAGGTGGAGAAGTGAGGCTTGGCTTTTCCTGTTGGGAAAGTCAGCAAGTGGGTCATATGTTTGGGAAGGCTTTTCCAGTTAATTTTGATGGTGTGTGGCTGGACAGGGGGTGCTGCTGTTGTCCTGCTGTGCCCCTGGGCTGCTCTGCTGTGCTCCTGGGCTCCTGCTCTGTGCCCCTGGGCTGCTGTCATGATGCTGGCCCTGTGCTGCTGTGCCCTGTGCTGCTGCAGGCCAGGGCACCTGGCAGGGCATCTCCTGGGAAACCTTCCTGGAAACTACTTTTCAAGTTTCTCGTTGGACTCCAGCTCTGGTGTTTCCCCCTGGCAGTGGTGGTTCCCCTCGGATGCCTTCCTTCCCCAGCAGGGAGGTGTGGGCTGAGCAGAGGAGCAGTTTTAGGAGAAACACTCCCCTGGTGCTCACTGTGCTGCTTGGCTTCCGTGCCACGTCTCCTGATGTGACAGCCAGTTCAGAGCATCTGATAAAATAACACACAGTCATTCAGCAACCATATAACACAGCCCATTTGCTAAAGCTGCTGTCTGATTGCCTTTTTCTTTTTATTATTATTATTTTTTTTTTTGGTAAAATTGACTTGAAGAGCATCAATACCATGGAGATGAATTGTTTTCTTACCCACCCCAGAAATGCAGCACAGAGGAATCACCCTGTTTGCTCCCCTCTCCATGTCCCTGCAGCAGAGCAGCCCCTGCCTGGGCTGCCCCAGGGTCTGGCCCCAGCTCTTGCTAGTGTTGATTTGTAGCTTATTTAACAGGAAGGGCTTTGATATTCATCAAAGTTCCTCAGCTTTACAGGGGGAGCTGGTGCTTTCAGCCCACGCTTCTGGTGGGTTTTTCAAGCACACTGTTTTCTGTGGCTGCCTGAGAGGTGCTGGGAAATAGTGCTGAGATCTGCACCGTCCTGTGGACCCAGCCCAGTTGCTCCTGTGCCCTCCCCTGGGTCCTGAGCAGATCTGCTGGCCCCTGCTGCAGGAATTAGACAGCAGAGCAGGCAAGGAGTGAGAAATAACACGAGTATTTCTTGCACGGTGTGCTCAGCACTGCTGTTCTTCTGTCTGTACTGACATGACACAAGTGGCCTTTAGCCTGGAACTGAAGGAGGCAGAAATACCTGTGAAAAATACATGCAGGCATT